ATGTTGCATTTTGTTGTCACTTGTACAATGATTGATTGTAAATTTGCCTCTAATTGATATTTCAAATGTTTTGGCATCGATGGAGCCATTGGCAAACAAAATATGCCACTTTGACCACATCTCACTGTTTAAGAATTTGCGTTATTTGTTCTAAGAATGTGGAGTTTAAGATTACTGCTGCATGATGTTTTCCTCATTAAAGTTTTCCTAAAGACTCAGGGCTAATAACATCATGGATGGAAAAAGTGGGATTTAAGCTGTTGCAAAGGAAAATCAATCCCTCACATTTTCTTTTCCAAAGCCCCATTTTGGGAGTGCCTCTTTAACAAAATATCATATTGCCAAAAGTGGTTACTCACCTGCCATGACTAGCAGATGAACTTAAGTGACAAGTCATATTTAATCTATAGGGTTCAATACGACATACATGTATTATTTAAAGCTAAAACAGCTTCAGTTCTGCTGGGAAGATTTCCAACAAGGTGTAGGAGTGTGTTTATTGGAATTTTTAAAGATTCTTCCACAAGCACATTTATGAAATCATATATTGATCTTGGAGAAGAAAGGTCCGGCTCTCAGTATCCACTCTAATTCATCCTCATTGTGTTCTGTTTGGTTCAGGTCAGGACTCTGTGCAGGCTGACCTAACCCAACAAGCTCATCTACACTAAACTCCATTTGTTTTGTTTTATGGATCTTGGCTTTTGCGCTGGTACACAATCATGTTGCAGGAGGTAAAGCCCATCTCCAAACTCTTCCCTAAAGTACTCTGAAGAATTCCTTTTACAAGAACTAAGGAGCCAAGTCCAGCTCGTATACAAAAACCTGACCAGATTATCCCAACTCCACTGAACTTTAACACTTGGCCCAATAGTCATACAACTACTCTTCTCTGGCAGCTGTCAAACCCAGACTTGTTCATCAGATAGCCAGATGGAGAAGTGCGATTTGCAATTTGCCACTGGGGGTGTGCAAATTATATTATACTCAGAAACCAGGTTGTCTGTATGTGTGTGTGTTGCAGACACTCTGGTGCACCTCTTCAAAATTGTAGGTGACCGCAAACAGTGCCACAGACAGGAGGCCTCTGATTGGTCAAATCTACATACGCTCTAGACTATGCGTATTTCCTTTTTGGTACCTTACCGGCTTGTTTTGTTCGTATGACCGCCATTGTGGAAAACGACTCGAGAAGTTGGACCAGCTAGAAGAGCGAGGTGCACAAGAACGCTTGGACCCTTTTTCCTCCTTGATCTCCACTCTTTTTCGTCCTCATGTTCCTCCGTTGTCTCACAAACTTACCCTCACTTCCTCACTGCCCCGGCCATATCTAGAGCCACAGCTAGTTCATGATTGTCCCTCTTGCATTTTGGCGTGAAATAACATAGCGCAGACCACGCTTCAATATTGGGCATAAATCAAAAATATCTGCGACCAGCTCACTGCGACACACTGCTGCTGGAGTAAAACCAACCCTTTACACCTCTCGATACAGTGCTTTTTATTACCCTTGGTGATGGATGACTAGGATGCAGCTGCTGAACCCCATTCTAAGAAGCTCTTTTTGCAGTTTTCCTGAGCTAATCTAAAGATGTAGTGATTACTCTGCAGGCTGTTGGTGAGGGCCTCAATCTGCTGCCCGTTTTCTGTCAGTTCAGTTCCTACCACTTCCTGGCTGAGCTGCTGTCATTCCCAATCACTTTCGCTTTCACTGTATCACAATATAACTTATACCTGATGGTGGAATATTTAGTAAAGAGAAAATATCACAAATTAACTTGCCTCCCAGGTAGCATTCTATCACAGTTGAATACTCATACTTTATTGTACTGCTTTTACCCTCTATAGAGCACGGGGTAGAGCTAAAGCAGTTATATTTCAAAATATTCCCTATCTATGTCATGATCTGCCCTGATAGCTCTCCTTAATTTTTCATTTCAGTCACCTGCCTAATTCTGCCCAGTTACCAATCATCTCTGATCCCATCCACCTGTAGGTTCTGCTTTATGTTCGGTCCAACCCTGCTATCAAGGCCAGATCATTGTTCGATGTTTGTTTGCTGTCTTTCTGTCTGTCTATGCCTGTAAGTTTGTCTTTTTGGTTTATTCTATGGTTCATGTCCTGGCTTCTGGTGGCCAGTAGAGTGAGAGGGTTTTAGTGTTTGTCCTGTTTTTTGATCGTTTCCTGATCCTTCTCTCCGGAGCACTCAGGGATTTGGCTTGGAACGCAGAGAGGGCCGGTTTTATTCCCGTAAAAAGGAGGAGACCAGTTTAAAGTTCTGCAGAGATCCTGGAAGAAAGTCTTGTCTCTGTTCTCCCAACCACTGAGCCTGCCCGTTTGCATCTGTGAGTGTCTGTGTGACCACGCTTCTGGACCCGTCTGACTTTGGACTCTGAACCGGCCTGAACTCTCAGTGGATTCCTGGAACCCTGTTTCTGTCTGTTCCTGTGCGGCTCTCAACTCCTAATCAAGCTGTGGACTCCTGGATCTCAGAACTGCCTGGTTCTGACCTGGATCGGTCTCCTGTCAGCTCTCTATGGTTGCTGCTCTGATCGGGTACACCCTGGACGGCTCTGCACTGGATCCCATTCGGCACTCCATCAAATGTAACCTGCCTTCCACGCAGAGAATGGACTGAACTATTAAACCTGACTCACTCTGATAATCATCTCCTGTCAGATGATCATGGCGACTTACCTGTGTTTCTTTCTACAGAATCAGTGATGAGTTGCACCCCACCCCTGCAGTCACTGTTGTTGCAGTTTCACAACCCCGCTCTTCAGTTCTGTCTGTTTATGGTTTTGTTTTAATAAGCGTTTTGAACTCTCCTACTGACTGTCTCACCTTGAATACTGGGTCCATCTGTTCCGTCTTTATGACAATCTAATCATGTTTAAGAAAAATTATGGACTAAAGCTTTGAGAACTCTGAAGCTGTAGGTGTGTTCTATCAGCTTTTTCTAATGTGCAGTTTATAGTATTGCATCAGAAAAGCTTGATGGAAGTGGTGATATTCAAAAAAATGTCCTCTGCTCCTGTACATGTCAGTTCCATTGCAGACTGCCTCAGTGAGTCTGTAAAAAGCATCACCTACTACATCCAAGTTAAAACCATCGATCTCCAACTCCCTTAAAGTCTGAAGAGAGCATGTGCAATAGGTCCAGGTGGACCAGAGTGGAACCGAAAATTGTAGATGCTCTGTAGTTTGATGTGATGAATGGAGAGTGTCCAAGAGTAAAGTTAGCATCTTCATTTTGAATGTTACACACAGTCATTAACTCTTAGCGTAGATGAGCCTTCGTTTCACGTCTTGTACTCCAGGATGGAGGACAGTGGCTGCATGTGCTCTTGTTGTCTGTGGACCAGATGTTTATAAGAGGACACAGTAATTTGGTATGAATAAGACTATGTGAAAAAGCCACACAAATTAAACCAGTCAATTGACTGCTGAATCTTAGTTGTGTGTCTCCAGAAGAGACTAGACAATGATCTCAATCAAATTAACAAGAATTAACAGCAAAATGCTTTCAAGTGCATCAATATAATCTAAATGGATGTCATTTTAGGGAAATTTGACTTATCTTTTTTATTTTATTTTATTTATTTATTTTTTTTTAGCAGCGGCAACAGTTTCCAAGAGTGCACTCTTTCAAATGTCAGAAAGGAACCATTTCACCTCTTTAAAGCCACAGATGACTACAGCTCCAACGATTAATTTGGTGGGAGCTCTGGATATTTTCCCTTCTTTCTGTTTACTCCATGCAAGAACCAGATGTTATAACAAATAGAATGGAGTTTGCTTGAAACAAGACACATAATAGCTTTCCTGCAAGGAACAGGAAATATGTCACTGAATAGTGCGGCTTATGTGGGATGTTAACTAAAGGGCTTCCATTTCTCCAATACAGCATGTTGCTGATATCCCCCCAAAAAAAGAAAAAAAAAAAAGAATCTTAAAACTGGATTCATTTTAACTTGATGAGTAATTTTAAATCACTGTATGCACTATTCATCCATCCTATAACTTTTCTATCTTACTGGCCAGCTGTCCCTTCTCACATTAGTGAGCCTTGACTCTGTTCTGTTTTTAGCTACAGTTTAGGAGAAAATCTGATCTAGTTATGTAGAGTTCTTGTCAAACTTGCTCTTCACTTCACACCCTTAACCCGTTTCCTACATCTGAAACAATAGCACAAAAAAGGGCACTTAAACTGATTGATGTATCTGGTAATATTTTCTCTATATAAGGAAATGTAATAAGCTTAAAGCTTTGAGATGAAAAATACTTTGAGGGAGTTTGTATCTATGAGAGTTGAAACAGCTGTCTGATGAGGAGCTCCCTTAAGGATAAACATTGGATCATAAAATATTTAGTAATAAAATATACAGTAATATCCATTACTGTAAAATTGTCCATAGTGGTTTATTGTTTTTTTATTCTCCAGATGCACAGTTTTTATATTGTTATCATCTACACTTTACTATTATGTTATTGTTGTACATTTTTCTAAGGCCCACATTTGTGTCACTATTTTGTCTATAATCTTTTTGCTGCTGCTTTAAAAAGGAGAATTTCCCCATTGTGGAACAACAAAGGGATTTTTCTAATCTATTCTATAAAAGAGAGCGCCTCTCAGGCTAAATAAACTTTACCAAGCAACTTGTTCTACTCCTTAATTTTTAATATAATTGGATGTACTTGCTGTATCATTAAAAACAATAAAGCTGGAATTCCTGATCTTTATTTTAGAGCCTACTTACCTCAGATATTAATAAAAATGTGCAAAACAATTGCGAGAACTAGGGTAAGGCTATTCAGCTGAATTGCATTTAAGTTGACTGCATTTACAGTAAAACATCAAACCCATTCCTTGAAAACACACATTATTACTGGATGTTCCGTTTGCTCTTCCTACGCTGCTCCACGCGCGCCTCCCTCCGGTCTCTCCGCCTCCACTCCGCGCATCGCGCAGCGCGCATGCAGGGCGCGCATTCTGATGGATTTGCTTCTGACTGACGGAGCTGCTTTTTGTTGCCGTTTTCCAACACAAACACGGATCGCACCGAGTATCCAAAGACTCACTCTAAACCTTCGTTTCGAATCGGTTTGATCAGGGATATTAAAGGAAGCAGCTGGATGAATTCGACTCAAATCAAATGTGAGTATTTCCTTTATTTTTATAACAACATTAAAATATGTGTTTTATCAACCTAAGTTTTTCATTGACTTTTTGGGACTGAGGTGTAAGTACAATGGTCTTTAAGACTGATAATCATTGTTTATTTTAATTATACTTCTGAATTTAAAATTGACTGTAGTAGCTTTTTTTCATGCCCTTACATGTTGCAAACTCAGCTAAACGGGGCATATATATATATATATATATATATATATATATATATATATATAT